CCCTAAATAATCTCCCGATTATTGAACGTTGCGGAGATGATTTTGTGTTTTCTAACCCTCTCATTACTACACTTCCCTTAGAGAAAAGTGTGGACTTCTACATAAGATTAATTCAAAATATTCGTGGATATATAGGTATTGATCTGTTTCGATATAGTTCTGAATTTTAGTTGAGCTCTGAATGATTGTCATATCTGTAATGAATGAATATATGATATGAAAATAATGTTTTCTCTTATTAAATTGTTCCTCATTCAAGTGATGATTAGAACAAACATCAAAACGAGGAGTTTGGGCATATTTCTCGAAGAATAGACGTCGCTACGACGTCCAAAACTAGTCAGAAACGTCAGTTTTAAGTCATAATTGAACACCGCATTGACGTCCAAAAGACCTGAAAAGTTACGTCATTCAGCTGTGACTTACTTACGTCATTTAGACGTCAAGTTGTCTTTTGGCCAAAAGTTATGTCGTCTTCTAGACGTCATATAGTCGCCATGTGCTATCTGGGATAATGCTGATGATAATATAATACTTCGTTGATTCATCCTGCGAAGATGCAGAGGAATGCAAAAATGGTAATCTCAGTCACAAAATTTATGACCTATTTATAAATAATACCTTGAACCTATGTTTATAAATTTGGCTTTTGCAAACTCTATAATTTTCAATGCGAAATGTACTAAATCGTATTTGAAAGAAGCTCAAATCCAGCAGCAATCACATTCTTCACAGCTCTCTCCAGAACAAATAGTTGACGTGGATCATGATAATGATTATGCTAACCCAGTGAAATCCGAAGAAATAATCGTAATGGCTCTCATATCAGCCTATTCAAAAATGCGATAAGATGAAAGGAAGTCTGGGAAAAAATTCTTCTCTATTGGAAGAAACTGGGACTTCTCATGATGCTGGTAGGTGTGAAGTTAAATGAAATAATTTACTGAGAACATATGAGTCTATATTAAATATACAAAGAAGAATACTGGGCAAGGAACCATTGAATTCTCATATTTCGACAGGCTGGATGGAATATTAAGTGAAAGACCAGCAATGAATTGTACTCATACATTCAGTTCCACGAGGAGTTCTGAAATTTCTGAAGAATCCAATTAAATTGGAAATACCAGTACTCATAATCCAAACAGAACTGTTGAAGTGGTTCCACCAATAAATTCAGTCAAAGGAAAGCGAAATAAAATGAATGAATTAATGGATCCCTAAATTGAATACTAAAAGAAATAAAAGTTGACGCAGAAAACGAAGATATCTCAAAAGCTGAAAAATTCGAATTGCAAAAGAAGTTGGTTGAAATAGAAGGTGGAAAAGTTGAAATTCTTGAAGAGTCCTTCAAGAAAGCATAAACATAGAAAATGTTGTGTTTTGTTGAATCACTGAGCTAGGCTCAATATATCGAATAAAAATATGAATTGATTTGTTATTATATATTGTTATACTTGAGAATTGAACACCTTTTCACAATCAAATCTATCTATTATAGGTACTTAACATATACTACTTTTGTACTTCAAATAATGCTATATAACTTTCAACAATAGATTCATTAGATATACAGACGTGACAAAATTTCTAGGTCTCTATATTGAAGAAATAGTAGTTTACCTAACATGTGCGAGAAGTGAAACTTTTCTGCTAGCGATTGCAGATGGCAGAACGACGCTACAGCAATGAACTCAATATAAACACCTGTAAACGACGAGTGAGGCAAAAATATTGTTCAGTCAACCCGCAGTTGTTACGGATACCTATCTCTTTCTATTAAATTATTATTTGAGAGTAAACGTGAATAAATATAAATAGTCATTCAGGAGAAAGAATGATGTCACAATTGATTATCCTTGAAAAATTATCATCGATTTCTATATGGACTTGATAATGAAATTTCAATTTTCATTCTTACAGGATGAGGAAGTCAAATGGATTCAAAATTGTAATTAAATATTTCCATGCGAATGTCACGATATATTGTACAGGGTGAGCAAAGCACAATGTCTCAGCAATATCAGAAGAAAAAGAAAAACAATAGAAAAAGTTTGAAAAGAGGTTCTTGATTCGTATTGAGTACCAAAGATCCATTTTGAGCATAATTATCATAGGTTCCTATTTTTCCATCAGGGCACTGCCTATCGAAAATTTAAAAATATCTTGAAACAATATCCTTCTCGAATGGAACAGTTTGGGTTTCTTTATTGATGAACTTCGACACTTGGGAGCTGAAAGTCACAGGCAAATTGAAGTCCATAATATGAGAAACATCTTCCTTAGGACCCAAGTTATGAACGGCCACATGCATCCTGGAAAAAATTACTAGCTAGTTTTTTTATTTTGAAGAGGGACAAAACATACTGGTTTTTCATTTTCAATCAACTACCCAGCGAGCACAAAAACATCTCAGAGATGTTGAAAGTACGAGATTTCGAGACATTGAACCTCCACTGCGATGTTCTGTTCACACATGAATAGAACTATTATAGAACAGTCAATGTCCGCCGCAGGCGGCAATTATCGAGATGTCCTTGATATGTCACAAAACTACCTCCTCCCTAGTTCTTTTTGAAGCCTTTTCATGGACACAACAAAACATTTTCAACGTGTCTTGCGCACATTAAATCGCTTTAAAAAAAACATTTTCGAGGTACTTTTCTGAACCTTTTTGTCAAAATAAACTTTTGCATTAGGATTCCTCTCCCTTGAATGAAGAAATGTATTAAAAATAGATTGAACATAAAAATATTTTCTTGATATGAAATTACCTTCTTAATCGGTTTCTGAGTAGTGCTTACTACACACAGACATATAATTGGAAATAGGTTTCCCAATTTTTGAAATGTATGCATAATGCATAATTTTGCAACTGCGGAGAAGCTGTGTATCGATGAATTCGTACTTTTATATATTGATTACACTGAGGCACCGAACAACACATCTTGCATCTGATGGTCATTATTACAAACTAAATAAGTCTTCTAACACAATAAACTTCACCAAATTCCTTTCTGTTCGTTAGCAGCGTGATGTGAGCGTGACACGCTGCAAACGCGAATGCCAATTGCGAACAAGAAGAACAAAATCGAAAACAAATTAGAATTCATCGTATTATGACGTAAGCATGAGACGTTGTGGTGGGGCAAACAAAGAAAGGGTACAAAAGAACAAAAACAATACTTTCAATATCCTTCTAAGACCTCTTTGGGAAGTGCATAATATTATGCCTCAAAAAAACATCCTCATGCCTACTTTTCTAAAACATCCCAAAACATCCCAAGGATACCTCTCAGTAGGCAAACAAAGAAATGCCACAGAAGAACAAAAACAATAATTCAATATCCTTCAAAGACCTCTTTTGTCAGTGCATATTACGTCTCAAAATAACATTTTCATGCCAACATTTTCAAAACATCCCAAAACATCCCAGGGATTTTTGTGCTCGCTGGGTAGGTACCTAGGAGATTTCTTATTTTTCTGCGAGGATCAGCATTTTTGGTAACAAATGTTTAGGAAATGGAAATATACTGGGTACAGCATCTAGTTTCAATTAGAAGTACCTGGTATGTCTAAATAAACAGTTGGCAGAAAATGCTTTCCACAAAACTCACTGGTTTTAGATAGAGTCCAATTCTCTATAGGAACTGCCTAAATCATGGAAGTATTCAACTTTGACAAATAATATAGATATAGTTTTTGAACATATTCTGAGACTGGGATGGTAACTAGCTGATGATCATTTCAAGAACTATATTTTTCAAAAATCTGAACAATATTGAACTCACCCATGGAATGACAATTTCCTTCCCTAACAATACGAGAACGTCCCAGGGACGTCCCAAGGACGTCCTTCATTTTCTACAAGGACGTCCCTGGGATATCCTGTGTAGGGACATGATACATACTAGGGACGTCCCAGGGACATCCGCTTCCCACAAAAAGAGGCGTCCTAGAGATGTCCTCCTGGTACGTCCCTGGGATGTACCAAGCACGGAGAAAGGATATTCCTAGGACGTCCCAAGGATATCCCAGGGACATCCCTTCGACAAAAGAAAAAAATGTACGGATTGAACCCGGGACCTTTGGCTTATCAGGCACGCATCTTACTTCATTGGCTATTGAGCCTCCTGAAGATTTATGTACTAAACAGATTTATGAACAGGACTTAACTACAGAAACATGAATAAATTCAACTTTGTTAGGATTTGGGTATAATTATTATATCATTCTTGGGTGTTTAAAAATGAGGAGCATTATGCATGTACGATTTCTGTTTGCGAGAAATGGTGATTTCTCAAGAAGTTCTGAAACTTCATTCTTTATTTTTATCACGATTATTTTCCGGAAGAAAGACAAACATTTTCAAAAAAATGCAACTTAATACGTTGATGAAATTCAATGACTCTGATGTGAATGGATATCAGATATTCCAGGGACACGAATAGGATAACCTAGGGATGTACCGGGCGGGATGTCCACTGGACAACCACTGCGCGACATCCCCTGGATGCCCCAATCATGTCCTTGTACCGCGGGACAAAAAAGGGACGTACCTTGGACATCCCTGTGTTGTTAGGGTTTTGTCTTGGGCCGTTCTTGCAACCAAAGGCGAGACAATTAATCACCATTGTTTATCAATACGAAATCACAAACCTCCTGAACAATCAGTTCACACCAACAAATTCAGTTCTTTTCATAAAACAAAACACGCTAAATGAAGAGATATTTCACTTTACCAAAGACAATGAACTTATGTCTCCACTTTTTTGCTTGTCTAGATGAGAGAAAAGAATCTGAATTACTTCAATTACTAGATGAAAGAGAACGTAAACACCAATCCACCATTAAACAACACGAGTAGGAAAGAGATAGGTTACCGTAACACAATGAGCTGTCTTTGTTGCAGCTGCCCCTGATACAATTTGTGCTATTAAAGAGAACGGCCGTCTTCCTTCCAGGTGTTTACATTGAGTTTATTGCGCTACAGCAGAAATTCAATAATTATGAACGTAGGCATCATTGTTAACCAATTCCGGTGACCCCGACCAATAGTGCCTGCCGTATCTTTTGACGTTGCACAGCATCCGCAAGCACAGGAAGTAGATCATTTCGACCAACGAAAGGACAGAGAAGCCCATGAACAGGCCGAGGATACCGCCGCAGCTAGCCAGAAAGTCCGTTTGGCCGTACAGCTCGTTCCTCTCCGACGTGATGAATTGCTGTTCTTTGAAGAAGATCGTCAGTCTGGTCAACTGCACCCTGTGAAAAATTGAATGATGAAGTTATATAGATTATTTAGATTCTTTAAAAAACATCCCACTGGGCAAAGAACATGAAAAATATATTTGCTGACGTCATTTTCAGAGTAGGATTCGCCCGTTGACCATGGAAGGAGAAACATGGCGTCTCCAGGACAGAAGTCAGGTTGATGTGTGTGCAAGTCAAAAATTCTCCTAATTACCTGTTCTGGATTTGAATCCAACAATTATTGTGAAGTTTGAAGTCCTTTTATCTCTACGCCGGTATGGAGGCCGGATGATGACGGATTCATCGGGAGCCATACTTGAAATCAAACGTGCTTCAGTAGGAGCACTCACGATAGAATCTTGAACATTGATAAACTCGGCTTCCGGGCATGGAGACGGACTACGGTGTCTTTAGTGCTCGAGAAATTGTTACCGAACGGAGACAGAAATCCAATGAACCCAAAAGGAGAAGAAGAAGAAGATTCTCAAAGTAACAATGGTTACTTTCCGTGAACACATAACAATGACAAATATATACAGGGTGAGTCATGACTAACTAGCCATAGCTCGATGGTAGATAGAGGAAGTCGAGGTGAGTTGATATATATGTATGCGAAAAAATATATTTTGCCTAATAGAAACAGGAATACAGGGCATTATTTGAATTCGGGGCGGAACTTTGATGAACGATATTTCAGGAACTTCTTGATGTTATATCGCCTGAAATTCACCAGCAACTCACCGCTACTGAGACACTACACGATGGCATACTATGGAAAATAAATTCCAGAGCCAGACTTTGAAAACTTAATTTCGTTTTGAAATGTCGAAATTTCGACTCTGAATAAAATGTTTCAAAAACTTTTATCAGAACAGGAAGATCAGGAAAAACACAAGTGTAACTTTCCAATTTGTACGGCACACTTCGACCAGATTAGTGAAATGATATCGAACAAAATACTGATGAACAATTCCATGATTCCGTACTGGATATTGTAGTCACATCGTTCAAAAATTCATTTGAATCCATTTCATGCATATCGGTGTATTATTAGAGTTGGAACAAGGCTCTATTCGTTGGAAAATTCTAGGACTGGACCTACTTTTCTTGAAGAGACCTTTCAAAACATGGAAATAAGTACCTAATTTTCATAAAAACAAAATTTCAAATGCGTACCTCCTCCTCCTATCCTCCTTAAGTACGCACGATGTTCTCCGGACATTATAGGAATTTCGTTCCGTGCGCTCAAAGAGATGGAGAAATATGAAGAAGAAAGAGTCATCTCAACAACATTCATTTGACGAAATTCCAAAGATTATATTATACCTAGACAAACATCAATTCCATAATCGCTGGATTGGTCGTGGCGGCCCTCATTCTTGGCCCCCTAGGTCTACTAATCTCACAGTATCAGACTATTATCTATCTATCCATAGAACTATCGGTCTATCAGACTGACGTCAACACCAGAGAGGAACTAAGGCAGAGGATTGATACAGATTCAGGAATCATCAAAACCATAAGAGATCTACCGAAGATATGCAGAAAATTTATTGAAATTGGGGAGAAGGACATTTTGAGAAATTCTTTCCAAAAACCAAGTCTGGTCCTGATTTTTCTCCAATAAAACTTTTCTCAACTCTGTTGCTATAACAATATTCAAAAAAACTGAGTCGAATAGTTTTAGTCGAATATAGAGAGTATTTGGCCCGGACGGAATCGAAGAAATATTCGTTTGAATTTTGTTTGATATTTTCACACCAATCTGGTCGAAGTGTGCCGAACAAATTAATAAACTACACTTGTAGTGATCTTTCTGATTCTGATGAGAGTTTCTGGAAAATACAATTCACAAAGTCGAAATTTTGACATTTGGGAAGAAAATGAGTTCTCCAAGTCCGGCTCTAGAATTTGTCTTCCATAGTAGGCCATCGTGTGGTGTGTGAGGAGAAGTAAATGGCTAGTGGATTTGAGGCGAAAACATGAAGACGTTCCTGGAATATCGTTCCTCAAAGTTTCGCCCCGAATTCAAATAATGCCTTGTATTTCTGTTAGGAATAGGCAGAATATATTCTTCACATATATATCAACTCACCTTGAGTTCCTCTATTCGCCATTAGGCTCTATAGCTGGTAAGTCATGACTCACCCTGTATCATGTGCAATTCAAATGTCCCAGTATACTACGTTACTGAAACGTATATCTTGTTACGTCATTAGTGTTTTGTCTTTCTAATGAACTATGTGTCGTTACTTTTTAATTCCAGTGCAACTTCAACAAAAGTGTGAACAGAAATACGAAAATGCTGAAATTGTTCCGTTTTTTTCGAATACTCCAAATGTATTTTTCAGGGCACCAATAGATCATATGAAGCGTAAAACTCATGTTATTCATTGAAGACAAGGATTACACAGAACAATTCGCCATTTTGGATCAAAAATGCTTGTACCTATTGCATTGTACCGTTTTTTTTTAAATTTTTCGTTTTGTGTTTTTGATACAGTTGTGAATTTGAAAGTGTGAGCTACTGTGGTTTTCATCAAGGTAAGTATTCCAGAGTTTATATTGATTTCTGTGATCATGTGGTTTGAGATCATGAATTGATGAATTCTTTCATCATGACGTGAATTATGTCGCCACTCAACATAGGTTCCCACAAGAAGATGCTGACATTGCTGATCCCACAGTTTGGATTCCCTGAATCCACCGTTTCCATGAAATCAGCAAGATCGTCTTGTAGCCAGCGAGAGCCGTTCTGCAGTCAGTTCTTAACTCAACTCCGTATGTTAAACATCTCTTGTACATAATTTGTCAATCATACGTGTATACGAAAAATAAAGTTTTTAAAAAGGGACTTCGAGCTATCGGAAATATTATTGGCGCAGTCGGTAGGATATCCGGGTTATCGCGTATCGAACGTGGTGATTTCGTTTTAACGATTGACTGGATATCGAAAATTGTTGGTTCGTTGTGGAGGTGTTTGAAGAGGACCGTCTAGCAGAGACCCGTCTGAAGCCCTACATCAACGAAGCATCGAGAATTGGAACCATATCGTCCATTTCTGCAAAGATCGAACTTCTGGAGGAGACAGGAATCGCAAATCCAGGACTCATCTTTATACCTATTAGGAAGGATATGCTTGAAGTAACTCTATTATTATTGTGAGTACATACTTGAATGTCTATCGAAGATTTATCAAGAATTCTTGAAAGTATAAATTTGCGTGATCCTTCAACTGACTCTGAAACTGATCGTACTCCCGAAAATTTATTCAAAACCGAACCTATAATGAATCAATTCAAATCTGAATATTTGAACTGTATCCCCGAATTCAACGGGAATCCCAATGAATTAAATCGATATATTTCAATTTGTGATCAAATTATTACAAATTTTTATGATGCTGCTAATCCTGGTAGTTTCCATAATACTTACTTATTGAATTCTCTAATATCTAAACTGACTGGCAATGCTAGATTGGTTGTAAATATTCAGCTAGCAACTAATTGGAATGATCTGAAAGAAACACTTCAGAGAAATTTCGCTGATCAACGAGACGAAGCTTGTCTCAATAGGGACTTAGTAATGTTGAGACAAAGTCAAAACGAAAGACCACAGCAATTTTATGATCGATGCCTGAAAATCCTGAACCTCATTTGTAGTCATGTAGATATTCACGAAGCAAATCATGAAGCGAAAGTTCTGAAACGCAATTTGTATAACGAATTAACACTTAAAACATTTTTATCAGGTCTTAAAGAACCACTAGGTACCACTATACGTTGTATGAGACCTCGAAGTCTAAGCGAGGCCCTGCAACTCGTTATCCAAGAAGACAATACACATTACTTTCAGAATATGCATCAAAATAGACAAATGCCGAGACAAAATAATATCCCGACAAGGCAATCACCGCAACAAAGATTTTCTAATAATTATTCAAATGATACTTTCAATAATCCAAATAATCAATTCAGAAACCAAAATTCACAAAATATGTCATTCCCTTCTCAACCTATCAATGTGCAACCTAGAGAAAATAATCGCCCACAAAGATTTTTCACAAATGCTCAAGTATTTGGTCTAAACAATCAACAAAATAGGAATGTTTTCAGACCAAACCCTAATAGTAGCTTTGATAGGCCTACGCCAATGAGCGTGAGCACTAGAAATACTTTCAGGCCCACGCCAATGAGTGTAAACACTACAAATACTTTTAGACCTGCACAAAATAACCAAAACTATCAAAATTCACGATCATTCGATAATAATAGAAGAACTTTTGCTTCAGAAGAATTAAACAACACAGAACTAGAGGAAAATTATGAAAATTCCGAAGAACAATACGACTATACATTACAGGAACAAGCTTTCGATAATGAAAATGCTGCCGGTACGAGTGAAAATTTTCAGAAATCCCATCACAGCACCAATCCAGCTTAGAGTCACATATCATTCCATTTAATACTACTAATGCAAGCGAATTACCATATATTATTTTACCCGAATATAATATAAAAGTTTTACTTGATTCTGGTTCGACGAAATCGTTCATTGACCCAGATATAGCTCATAAGTTTTTTCCTAGCTTAATAAGAAACGACCCATTTGTCGTATCTACAGTATTTCAAAAGTCGGCACACAAGTTTAGTGCGTGCATTCCCGCTTCAAAAATATTCAATTTGCAAAAGAATAAAACCTTGAAATTTTTTCTATTCAAATTCCATAATGTCTTCAGAGGATTGATTGGACTAGATAGTTTGAAATCGTTACAAGCAACTATTGATTTCGATAAAGGATATTTGATTACGCCACACTCAAAAATAAAGTTGCTTTTTCAAAAAACACAAACGGACCTTAACCTAATAAAAATCGATGCTAGATCGGAACAAATTATCAAAATAAAAACATCTATAAGTAATGGCGAGATAATCATTCCCCACCACAAATTTCACAACTGTGGAATACCGGAATGCCTCACAATTGCAAAAAACGGGTATGCTTTGACAACT